CGGGAGCCCTTCTGCCGGGGTGCTGGGCTGGGGGGGCCGCTTCCCATTCAGGGCATCCCTGAAAGCGGCCAGACAAAGCGGGAGGGCGTCCGAACAATGCCGCACCCCCGGCTCTGCCTTCAATAGGGAGCTCTAAACAGGCGTTTAACCTTCAGAATAGCTGAAAGTGATACTCAAAGCTGAGGGGGTGGCTCGCCCGCCGCTGTTAGCCTCTTCCTGCGGCCGAGCCGGCGGCCACTTGGATGGCCGGGGGCAGGAGGAAGGCTCTCGCTGCCCTCGCTTCCTCAGGCCCCTTGGCACAGCGCTGCGGGTGTGCCGGGCCCCGTGCAGGTCGTGGGAGATGTCACCTCCAGGGCAGGATCAGGCCACAAATCCTGCCTGGGCTGGCAGGGTGCTGGGGGCCCTGGGAAGGCTGCTCCGCACCCTCAGGGATGGGACTAGAGGAAGGCAGGGCTGTAACAAGGAGTGGGGGGGGGATGCGGCACAGTAGGGGTCATATCCCACGTCACAAGCCTGGGATCATTTGTCAAGAGATCAGGGAAGATCTGGGCAATGACCCACATCCTGAGCAGGAATATGTCCTGGACTCGGATAGCATCACCATCGCCTGCAATTCCTGGTGTTTCCAGCCTGTACTGTGTGATCTTAACTGACCGAAGCTCTCACAGAGCCTGGCCTGCCACCATTTGTGCTTGTGTATGGACTTGTAATGAACCAGGAGAAAGGCAGTTCAAATCCAAGGTTAATTTGGAAAGTGGGATTTGCCACTGAAATGGGCCAGGCTCAAAGAAAGCAGAGCAGGATCCATCCCTGTTCCCTGAGCCTCACTCAGCTGCACAGTCCAGCCATCCTGTGCTGGCCAGGAGCTCAGCAGCAAACAGCCCTAAGGATATTCTCTTCCCTTCTGCAGCCTCTCTGCTTTGAGAAGGAAAGGTGTTTTCCCTTCCCTCTTAGACAGCATGATGAGATCTTCACAGACCATCATTTTGTGGAATCCTTGGCCACACAGTCCCTTCAAACTGGAGGGAGAAGCCACTCCTGGCCCTGCTCCTGGTTACACTGGAACCACTCAGGGGAATCAAGTATTTCCATTTCTAAAGGGTGCACCAAAGGATAGTCTCTTCTTTAGTCCAGAATATTTCCCTGTCACTGCTTAAAGGCAAAGGCAGCTCCCCAGCGTGCAGAGGAGTAGGCAGCTGTCATTGTTTGGGAAGGCTCCGGCACACCAAGAGTGGCAGGAGGAGGCTGGAGAGATGCAGCGTTAAAGATTGTTAAAGACTTTCTCTGCAGCAGAAATTAATTTCAGCCAGAAAGGTTCTGAGCAACTTGCAAAGCCCCCATCTCCATTAAGACTAAAATACACTCCAATTTTGCATAGTCAGCATGGCCTGGCTGTGCTGGACCTAGAGCAGATCAGAAAGTTGCCACATTTTTTGTCTTGATATGTTGTCACTGTGCAGGACACAGGGTCTGGGAGAAGTGTCATCTCCATGGGGAACAGTACATTTGGTGTGTAAAGCTCTTTGGCTTTGCTTAAATTAGCAGTTTGATAATAACCCTGGAAAGGATTTTAATGTTTTCTTAACCTCATGCAAACAGAATTTTAAGTGTTTTAATTAAAACAGAACAATACCTCATACTTTATGTATAGGACTTTTATCTACATGCAGCTGTGGAGCCAGACTAGTGCATTGATCAAAGGGGAGGGATGTCTCACAAGGTGTCTCTAATCATAGAGGATTCAATTAGGCTCTTCCTTAAAACTGCACAAATAAAAAGATATTTGAAAAAATCAGACTATGATTAAATACTGGCTACTTCATTCCCAATACCTCTCTGCTGGAAGTGTTGTGTCTCAGCATTGATCCCAGGCTAGCACCACACCTGCACTTGTATTTCTGGGCCAAGAGCTGCAGAGACACTTGCACATAAACTTCATTTTTCCAGAGGAGCTGGGACTTTAGAAAGGCCCCAGGATTTCAACCCAAAGCTGACAGCCAGCGGAAAACCTCTAATTGGTGTAGCTGTGTGTTTCAGGGAATCTTGAAGCACTGCCAAGTGCGATACAACCTTCCTCAGTCAGGACAAACACAGCGCCAGTGGTGAATGGTCCCGGGCACCAGATCTCCAGAGGGGACCGTCGCTGAGCAGAGGGGCTCCTTTGAGCCTAGCTCAGAGCTGTGAACACACCTCCCTGGGGCTCCCCTCTCCCTGGGAAACCCTCTGGCACAGAGGTGTGTGTGGCACGTGCACGCCCCAGCCCCCTGGCACAGCCCTGCAGATCTCTGCTATCAATGGGCTGTGTACCACAGCCCTCCATGATGTCTGCTGAGCTCTTTCCAGTGACTCAGCACGTCCCATCTACCCAGAGCAGGAGCTCTCACCTCGGGGGGTGCTCATCCTGCTCCTCTTGCCTGCATCGTGCAGCTCCCCCTCCTCACAGACAGCCTGAAATACAGAGCTTGGGGTGAGTTCCCAGCTATGCTCCAGCCAGGGCCCAGCTCCTGACTTGTGTTGGCACCAGCAAGGGCTACATCCTCTTCCTCTCACAGGACTATAATTCCCACCCATCTCCAAAACCCAACGTTGCAAGCCAGTCTGCATTTGTATGGGCTCACTTGCAAACAAGTAACAGCCATACATCCCTAAGCTTCCGAAGCTGTTCACATCTGCGTTTAACAGGCTGTGCCCTGAATGCATAATTTGCTTTTTTTTAACCTACCCTGCTCTCAGACAGACAGAAACACAGCACTGAATTTTGCCCTCCAATCCCTCTTTCTTCAGCATAGCCATCTCCTCCAGGGAGGGAGTACAGTCCCCCTGTATCCTCCTCTACTACTCCAAACCATCCGTCTCCAGACGGCCACCCCCAGGTCTGACTTCAGGAAGGCCAAGCTTTTCCTCATTGCCTTTAGCAGAAGGCTGGGTGAGGCCCGGTGGTTCAGGTCGCTGCCCACCACCCACCTGGCACAGCTCGGAGATGTCACTGTGCCCAGGTCTCCAGCCAGGAGCCCAAGCACGGTGGTCACCAGTGCCTGGGACTGTCGCTGGCCTCACACCCAGCACCATTATCCGTATCCAAAACTTCCTCTCCACCTCAGGCACCCACCTTGCGTGGGTAACCCCCCTGCTCCAACACCCCACACTTGCAGGGCTCTGAGCACCGCGAGGGCTGTGAAAGCCCGGGGAGCGTGTCCCCCAAAGGGAGGCGTTTGCCGAGCCCAGCCTGCCCTCCTCCGGTGGCTGCGAGCGGAACAGGGCCCACAAGTGGCAGCAGAGCACCTGCAGAGCCACCACTGCTAAGGCAAAGCCACCACTGCTTGAGGGCTGAGCCCCCTGGGTGCTGCAGCACTGTGGGGGTGACATCTGTTTTCCACCGGCTGCTTTGGGACAGAGGCTTGTGAGTGTCCAGGGGACTGATAAACTAAAATTAAAGCTTCCAGCTTAGAGATGCTGGAGAGGACACCCACTTGAACATGTGCAAAAGTGAAGTTGGTATATAAAGGATGCAAATTTCCAACACTTTTCTCATGCTGTGTTTCACCAGGCAACACATTTCGCTCAGGCTCATGGAAGACATTTGTCCCTCATACCAAGATACCTCATACCAACTTCTCCTCTCACCAGGGTTGGATGCAGAAGGTCAAAAAGATGGTTCTGACAGCAAGGGAAGTGGAATGGCTACCAACAAATTTGTATGCAAGGGCAGAAATAAGCTGGGAAGTTCAGCATGGACAAACACAGAGAGAAGCAGCAGGAAGAGGAAATAAAGAACAGGAGAGGAGTGGAAGAGCCACATGTCCCAGGGTAAACAGGGAGAATTGGGCCAGAGCAAATTGGGATGACAATGCTGAGGACAGAACAAGGAAAAACTGTGTGTGGAGAGTTAGTGGAGGAAACTGGGGAGGGTCTGATCAACATGTGTTCACACAGCCATTAAATCCAGCAGCAGGGGCTCGCTCCCCTGCTCTAAGATGAGCCAAAATGCACACAGGAGGTGATGCTCTGGAGTGGCAGTTCCCAAACCAGCACAGTCCCCCACCTTCCCTCACAGAGCAGGACTGTACAAGGAAGAGGTAGGAAACACCAGCATAGACCCATACTTGTGTTTAATTGTGAGACCAGGACGGACTGGGGCACGCAGGTACATTGGTGTGGAAGCACAGCTAGAAGAGCAGACACACCCTGCCCCTCACAAAAGACGGGTGTCATTTTAAGGAGTAATCCTGCTAAAAGCATAAAAACAAATTATTAAAAAAAAAACAACCAAAAAACAACCCAACCCAGAGTTTTCTCTGGAAGAGAAATTTCTGCATCTTTTCTGAGAACTGGAATCAAACATCTCTGCTGAGGCTGTTTCATGTCAGACACAACATGGGGAATTCACATAGCACAAGTCAGGTGTTTCACACAGACATTTCAGTTCAGGCCCCTGCTCCAGTGCTGGAGACAGGGAGGGCTCTTTTGGGAAGGGATGCAGAGCACATGAAGTCAGGCTCTCACAGAGGCCACTCTCCAGAGGACGTTCTCTCCCCAGGCAAGTTACCTTCTGAATACATCTAAGCAAAGGCAAACTTGGCCCTTCTTCCCACTCTCCCATTTGCTTTCTGCAAGGAAGAAGGTCCACAAAACAATGCTGCATCCACAAAAGATGGAAGTAAAAAACCCAGAGAGGTGTCCACAGGATAGTAGGATTTGCTCATGTCCTCCACCATGGAGCAAGGCCACAAAGACATTTACAGCTGCATCCATGCTGGAAGATGAGCATCAGCCCCATCCCCAGAGATGAGCATCCCATCTCCCTGAGAGAGAAAAGGATTCTCCAAGAGAGGACAGGTCTGGGCTATCCCTCCACCTACTGCACAAACCCGGGACACATTCAAAAGTACAGACAATAAATTAAGATTAACAAAAAAAAAAAAAAAAAAAAAAAAAAAAAAAAAAAAAAAGCGTGTATTATATATATATATATATACACACACACATATATATATATATATATATTTTTTAATATAATATGATGTGCGTGTGATTGTGAAAAATAGAAATGTCATCCCCAGGAGAGAGAACGACATGGCAGAAACACACCCCTGTCCCCCTCCTGAGCCAAACACTACCCTGCTCCCCTGATTCACAGCAGACACACAACACCAGCAGGGCTGAGCAGAGGGAAGGGTTGCGCCTGGCACCCACCTTCCCTGTGCCAGCTGGGTCCCTGTGCCAAGGAGGAGCTGGCTGCTTGGTAGAGGAGTGGGGAAGACCCCAGCACTGGTCCCTTCATGGCCTTCACAAGGAAGGGTTGTTTCAGGCAGGAAAAGGTAGGGAAAGACAGGAAAAGCGAAGCGGAATGGTAGGGGCACCCCACCCCTCCTCAACTGGCCAGGGCCCTGCCCCTCCCATGGCATCATGGCATGGGACCACCACCACTGTACCAAGTAGAAAATAAAGCCATAATGAGTCAATGCTTTGGTATGTGACCATCCCCCTCCCCCCAATCCCCTCTGTGCTCCCCCCAAACCCTTATCTGTAAAACCTGTCAAATAAAATTTCTAGCGTGCCTTTTATATCACTCCGTGAACCTTTCCTTCCCCAGTGCCTGCCTTGCCCCCTCTCCCCAGCAGGATTTGGGAGGTGCCTTGCTTGAGCCCCACCAGTTACAGCTTCTGGTCTCCCGACTGGATTCTGCTGAACGCTGCCTGGTCCAGTGGCAGGTAACAGCCTTGCCTGGAGTCCAGAAAATACAACCTGTCCTTCACCAGCGTGGGGTCAAAGCCCTGCTTCCGCAGCTCCATCTTCTGGAACTTGTAAGTGCCTGGAATGGGGAGAGAAGGAGAAGTAAGGACTCACTGTCCATACATACTTCCACCTATGTTGCTTCAGACCCAGCCTTGCTTCCCCATGCCTCAAAACCACCTGAGGAACTGGCCAAGGGCTCTGTGGGGCAGAGGCTCCATCCTCACCCTACAGACTCATCTCTGTAACCAGGTTTTCCCCTCCCAGGCTCCCCCAGCTCCATGTCCAGTGTGAGCGTGCATGCCATGGCTTACTTGTCTTGGAGACCTCGTGCAGGAACCGCAGGAAGACGGGACGTGCATAGAGTGGCAGGGCCTTTTTCAGCTTGCTGGAAAAGTCTTCTAGGTCACAGGAGTTCTCTGGGTCAGCGATGGCTGCCATTCCTGCCTTCCCTTCAATCCCTAAGAGGCAGAAAACAAAGAGCACTCAGACACACTGTCCCTGTAGCATCATCTCCCCTCTGCCCTGCATCAGCAAGACCCTGCCTTGTACTGAAGCACTGGCATGTCCAGCTGTGTCACTGCTGTGTCATCGCCCTGTGGCCAGGGCTGCCACTGACACCCTAAGGTCACAGTCATGGCCAGAAAGGACACAGGGTCCTTACAAACCAACCAGAATCAGACCAAAGCTTAAGAGAGTGAGGAAACCCTCTGGTTCCTGCTTAGCCACACCTCTTGTCCCTCTTCCCAGCTCACCCACAGGGAGCCTCAGTCTACCCTCTTGTCAAAGGACACATCAATCTGGACATGCAGGACATGTTCACACTAAAGTCTTGGAGGCCTGCCTGCCTCTCCTGATTGTCCACTTCCCTCTTAGCTACCTGGGACCTCCACACCATAAACCACCACGTCCGTCAGGTTGAGGATGCGGCTCAGCGTTCCCTCCACCTCCGTGGTGGAGACGTTCTCCCCTTTCCATCGGAACGTGTCCCCGGTGCGGTCTCGGAAGTACATGTAGCCATATTTGTCCATCACCAGGACATCCCCTATTGGAAAGCAATGAGTAGGCAAAAAAATGAGGTGTCAGTTAGAAGCAACCCTGGGGCATATCAGGGCAGTGCTGCTACCCTGGAAGAGTCCCCACTCCCACACAGGTGCCTTTCTCCTCCACTCCCAGCAGACAGAGGGGTCCTGCTGCCCTCACCTGTGAGATAGGCAGCATCCCCTTTAGTAAACACATCCCTGGCAATCTTCTTGTTGGTGGCTGACTGATTCAGGTAACCATCGAAGTGCTGCAGGGGATTGCTCCTGACAATGCGACCCACCAGCTGCCCTGGCTCCCCTGCAGTGAAAAGAGGGGATGAAGTGGGGAAACACCACCTCCCCATCTCCCAAGAAGAAAGGTGTCTAATGGGGTTGATGTGGTTTAACTAAGCAGAGACAAATCCAGGGATATTATTGTGAAGTATCGTGGAACACTCACACTCACACAGGGCTGAGGAGATTTTATCCCTGCAGTTGTCCTCACCTGGTTTGCAGCTGATACAGACACCATCTGGTCCCCGGATCAGCTCCATAGTGTCTTCATCCACCTTCACCAAACCAATGGGGTACACACCTGGTAGGATCCTGCTGTTGAAGCCACATGACCCAACCTAGAACAGAAAGAGCTCAGAGCGCTGGGTAGCGAGGACATTTGTCCCACCTGAACCCATGTAGCCAGTTGTCCATCAGCAGGACATCCCCTATTGGATGTCCACATTCCCAGGACATCACAGAGGTGGCACCACACAACAGCCAAAACCCCTCTGGGTGGATGGCTACCCATGCCAAGGAGCAAACAGCCCATTTGGGTTTCCAACCCTGCCCGGGCCAGCTGTCACCCTTTGGGACATGAAGGAGGATTGTGGGGCCTTACATTGCCATCAAAGTTTCCCAGGCTGCAGTTGCACTCAGTGGCCCCGTAGAACTCGGCCACCTGGGCGATGCCAAAGCGGGCCATGAACTCCCTCCAGATGGAGGCCCGCAGCCCATTGCCCACGGCCATGCGCACCCGGTGCTGCCGCTCCGTGTTCTGGTATGGCTGGTTCAGCAGGTAGCGGCAGATCTCCCCGATGTACTGCACAATCTGGGAGAAACAGAGAAGGAAGACTCACTAGGGGACCCCTCTGCCAGGCCCTGGGTTGTCTGAGGTTTCTTCAGGGCAGGAAGGAATGGCACAACACACCCAAAGTTTGCTAAAGAGTCTGCAGTAATAAAGAGAAGTTCTGCAAACTCATCCAGCCTGTCCTTCCCTGGTTAACACACCTCTCCAGCTGTGAAACCCATCCACTATCTCCTGGCTAATGCTAGAATATGAAGAGGACATACAGAGTTACCAGCCCAGGTGGGAAAGGACACAGCCCCACCACCGAAAGGTGGTTTGGAAAAACAGAACCAATCCAGGCATCCCCCACTTCCAGAGCTGGGCTCTCCCCAGCATGGCACAGACCCCCAGGCTTCACTGCCCACTTCCTGCTGCTCCCTTGCCCCACAGCCTCACCGTGCAGTTGTATTTCACGCAGTCCTCCCAAAAGTGTGAGGCCGAGAACTTCTTGCGGATGACAACCGTCATGCCCTGCAGCAGGCACTGCCCAATCCCCACGATGTTCCCTGCAGAGAGGCAGCCAGGAAAGCCCTCAGTCCCCAAACACCTCCAACCCAGTCCACCTAGGGGAAGAACTGGCAGGGCAAGGCAGAGGCCATGGCTGGCTCACAGCAGTGGGGGTTCACCCAGCCAAAGCCCCCAGGACCGCAGGCACATGGGAGGAGACACGTGGCAGTAACGTGTAGGGCAGCACTTTGCACCTAAACATCCCTGCATGTTTCAGCCAGCCAGGCAGGCACTGCTTCCCCCTCCCCTAGACTTTCCCCCCAGCAGCAATAAGCAACAGATATTCCAAAACCAGGGTAGGATAATGCCCTACCCACACACTCCCTGCTCCAAAGGTCAGCCAGATCAATTCTTGGCTTCCAGGGAAAAAGCAGAAAAAGCCTCAGTCACACACTGCAAGCAGCAGTCTCATCCTCCTCAACATGGAGATCACAGCCACTCCAGCCTTCAGCCCGAGCCCTGGGCTTGGCTGAGGGAAGAGCCAGTCCCAGGATGCCAGGCTCATGGCACATGTTACCTGCAGCATGGTAGAGCGGGAGGCAGTCGTACATCACATCATCGGACCTCATCCGAAAACCGTAAAAAACTAAGCTGGACATGCGGAAGTACCTGAGGGGAGGGTGAAAAGGCTTGTCAGGAGCAGGGTCAGGGGTGCTGTGCTATGACAGGACAGAGCTCAGCCCCATCCCCCCTGAGCCCCTGCCCACAGCCTTACCGGCAGTTAACCACAATGGCAGCCTTGGGCAGCCCCGTCGTGCCAGAGGTGTAGATGTAGAAGAGTTTATCTGGGGAGCAATGAGGAGACAGGGTCACATTCCCAATCTAGGAGCTAGGTGAACCAGGAGAGGGGGACAAGCAAAATTTAAATACTCTACTTGTGCCAGCTGAGCCAAAACTCTCATGTAACAATACCATGAACATGCTGGGATCACCCTGGGCAGATCAGGTTTGTCAGACACATGGAGGGTATGACAGGATATTGCTCCACACAGGGCTGGTCTTCCAACACTGGAGTAAGACCCACCCCAAACACTCCTTGCCATCAGCATACCCAGCAGTCTTGACAGAGTGGTAACCAGCTGACCCTCAAAATCACCACCACAAGTCTGGCCCCAAGAGCTGACCACATACCAAGAAAGCCCTTATTAGGGGGAGCTGGCTGGTGTCGCTGGGCCATCTGCAGGAGGGGGTCCAGGTGTTTTGCACCAGGAAGCACAGATTTAGGATTTTCTTCCCCGGACCAGAAGAGATGGATGGATTTATCCAGGGAGGGCTGCACTTCCTGCATTGCTGCAAAAGTAAAGAGGGGAGCTGGAGAAAAGCAGCAGGGTGGCTACAGCACAGAGACCCCCTGTGTTCCCACAGTCTGAGGGGACACCCTGCCCCAGGTAGCAGTACTCCCATTGTGCTTGGCGGAGTCCCCAAAGGGCTCCCATCCCAGGCAGATGTTGTTCCCATGATTAACAGATGCTGGGGCCACAGCCCAGACCTCTTCAGGGACCAGAAGTTCCTGTTTTCCACCCTTCCCCATCCAAAACCTCTTTGGTGCCAAGAGGTCTGTTGACACCTTCAACCTCAGAGGTGTGGGCTGAAACACACAAGGAGCTGGATGGATGCCGCAGGTGCTGCAGGGATGTCGCAACAGCCATGGAGAGCAAAGGGAGGCTCCTCCCGTGCAGTGGGGCAGGCCCAGCCCAGCCTAGGTGTCCATGCTGGGAATGGACATGAGAGACATCATACCCTCAGGCTGGCCTGTTTGGGAGGCAGACAGCACTGCACTCCAGATCCTGCCCAGTGTCCAAAGGAACCAACAACAACAAAAAAGCCAACCCCAAATCTAATTTCTGGATAATTCCAATGTCCACCCTCTTCCAGATCTCTGTTCTGTGACGGGCAGGAAAGGAACACTGAACCCACTGACCAGGCACACCTCCCTCCAGTCCAAAGCACTCCCAAAACATCTGCCAGCCCCTCACCTTCCATCATTTCCACCCCAAACACCACAGCTTTGGAGCTGGAGATGGTGATGCAGTGCAGCAAGGCCTCCAAGCGCAGGTGGGAATTCACGAGGGCTGTCTCCACCCCGATCTTGGCCAGGCCGAGCCACAGCCCCACGTACTGATTGCGGGACTCCATGAAAAGCGCCACCACGTCACCCGAGCGGAAGCCTTGGCTGTAGAAGAAATTGGCCACCTGGTTGGAGTACTCATCCAGTTGACGGAAGGTCCAGCTCTCGCCTGTGCCTTGGAAGATCAGTGCTGTCTTCTCTGGATACTTCCTTGCGGTCTTCTGGAAGATCTTGGCAATTGTGTTCTTCTCCCTCACGTGCTTCCATACCTGCCACTTCACCCTCAACAGGACCAGCCCCGTGCTGCCAAAGGAAGAGGAGCAAGAGGGCAGCTGCTCAGTGACCCCTGCATTCCTCCAGCAAAGCCAGCACAGCACAAGGACCTTCCAAGGAGCTGCAACAGCCCAGCACTTACACCAGACCCCACTCTAGGTCAGCAGCAGCTCTCAGTGCTCCACTGAGCAGTGTGCACGTAGGCAGAACACATCTGCAAAGATGCTCATAGCCAGGGACTGATGGAGGCCAGGGAGATGTGTTATGTGACAGGGATGTCCTCGATCAAAGGGGCATTTTTGAGCCTCAGGTGCTCTCCAAGAGCACCAAGACCACCACTCCCTCCCCCACAAATCCTTGTCAGGAGCTGGCACAGCCTGATACCAACTCAGAATAAACCCTGCACAGGGGCCTGGTGCTACACCAGCAGCTTTAGGGACAGGGTAAAGTACAAGGACAATCAATAGACTTTGAGCTCAGCTGAAATCTATCCTTCTTGGGAAGTTTGCCTGAGAGTTTGGAGTCACCCGGACATGGCAGAGGGAGCTCTCCTTCCAGCCAGGCCAGGTGCCAGCAGAAACCCAGGCTGTGCAAGGAGTCAGGGGCTGTGCTCACATATACACATACACCAAAGCAGAGCAGAGGGCCGGGGGTGGGTGGAATCCATGGCACCCATGGGCCATCCCAGACAGGACACCTACGTGATGTCCCTTGGTAATGTCTTGAGGAATATGAGGAAGAAGTCCCATCCACCAGATGCCAGGTAGAAGACGAAGAGAGCAGGGATGGCCTGGGCCCAGGACAGTTCCAGAGTGACCCTGAAGAACAGCAGCACAGCTGCAAAAGCAGCCAAACGCAGCATCATGGCCTGCGGGGAGAGAGAAACCACGGCCATCAACCCACGCACACTGGACCTGCTGATAACAATCCCATGGGTGTGGGATGCCTGAGCAGCCCCCAGTTTCCTGGATGAGGTCCCTGAGTCATCAGTCCTCCTGGCAGTGAGGATGTAACCCAGCAGCCCAGAGCTTCCAGAGGTGTAACTTTATCTGGCCTTGGAGATGGCCTCCAAATGAGCCATCAGCACGGCGCTGCTTGGTGCAAGAGCCCGGCCATTCCCACCTGGGGAGCCACATCCTGCACACCAGCCAGGGGTCTGGCCACGCCCCAGCAACATGAGATGCAGGATAAAGTCACTTCTATGGATGTGTGAGCTAAGTCATGGCAGGAGACCTTGTAGAGATGATTGGAAGCCTGCACTCTACCACAGAATCCCTCTGTTCTCAAAATCCAGAGTCTCCCAGGCCCCAAGCACGAGCTCTCCTGCATGCCTGGCTCCAGGACAGCCATCGCAGCTGTTGGAAGAGCACAGCTTCACGTGCTCCACAACACAGTTCAGACAGAATCAGGGACAGGAAACTCAGTTCTTTGAGCTCTGTTTGTGTTTGCAAACCATCATGTTGGCGGGCAGTTTCCTGGCCTGGCTAGGCTGGAGACACAGCCAGAGCAAGTCAGGGATGAGGCCAGGCTGGAGTGGGCAGAACGGGGGCTGTCGCTGCTGCCAGGAGTGCCCAAGGCCCCTGCCCCATTCCCTGGGGACAGTGACTCCGTCTCTGGTCCCTCCAAAACAACGTCTCTATCCCCAAACCAGACACACCCCACAAGTGGCTCTGAGATTCAGAGACGGTCATCTAGCAATGGCTCTTTTCAGTCAACAGCATTGGGAGAAGGAAAATGAGAGAGATGTGACCCTCACAGCTCCTAGATAAAACTGGCCCTTCCTGGCATGGACACAGGCCAAAGAGGAAGGAAACACTTGCATCATTTCCCTCTTGAAGATTGATTCCCTGCTCTGAAGCTGGAAGCCCTGCATGGACTCTTCTACTATTGGTGGGGCTGAGAGCCACACTTGTGGCTTTCCCTCTGCTCTGTGCACTCCTCCCAGATCCAAGGAGCTTCTGTGGATTTGATACCAGATTCCGGCAGGCGGGGAGCCAAGGCAGTGCCACACGGTCACTGTGTCCTGACATGAGTGGTGGCACCAGCAGCAGGCTGGGGGGCATCAGAGCACAAGACGCCACTCCCAGGTGTCCCCTGGAGACATTTTCCCACCCACAGCCCTTACCCTGAGATTCCCCCTTGTGCCAGTCTCCACCAACACCCAGCTCCCAGACCTGATGTCCCACAGCAGTGTCCCTCTGCCTTTTAGCAGGCCAGGACTCACTGTGATTTTTCCTGGGAGCCTCTCTTTGCATTTAAACAGGGCAACTTTTAGATCACCACCAAACTACAGTGCCTCAGCCGGGACCTGAGCCCTCGGCTAGAGCCTCACACCAGCCAGATGTGGGGAGGCAGCAGCGGGGGAGCCCCGCTCTGTGTGGGCAGCAAAGTGCTTCATCTCCCGCTTGAAGGCAAGGCAGGCTCAGGCAAGCCCCTGTTATCCTCCGCTCGTATCTCCACCTCACTCCGGCATCCCGGTGCCTCCTGCGGAGATAACCGGGGAGAGATTCCCTAGAGATACCCGCTGTGTCGCTGCCAGAGACCTCCAGCCCTGCGTTACAGATTCAGGTCTTGTCCAGCTGCATCAGAGAAAACGAAGCCCTGCCTGTGGCTCACAGCCCGCAGGCACCGATGCAAAGCGCGGGGATCCACCCGGGAGCACCGAGCCCGAGGAGGGCCCGGGAGCGGGTCACAGAGCGGGTGGCCGGGCTGAGAGAAGCCCCAGCGCTAATGGCACCTGGGAGGCACCTGTCCCCCACCTGCCCTGGGCAGGGACCCCCGCCTCACCCTCCCGAGGACCCCAGCGGGGAGGTGGAGCAGCGCTGTCCCAGCCCCATCACCCGATGCAGAAAGGCCGGGAGGGCCCCGCACCGGGATGCAGCCGGGCCCCGCCACCAG